CTAAGGAAATCTGAGAAGCAAAGTAAAGGATAAAGTAGGGAAGGACCCCTTTTTTATAGACCGAAGTCGGGCAGACGAAGAGTCATCTAGAAGCTCGCACGTCGCTTCGCATCAGCCAATCAGAAACGAGATAGGGGTGGGCCAAATATGTCACGGGCCTCAGAACCACATCGGAGAGCCCAAAGCCCGCCAACTCGCCGACTGGGGGGGGCTACTGTTGGGCACGGGCTTCGACAGTAGTCACTCTAGAAGCCCATTTCCGAAGAGGCCCAGCAAGCCGAAGCCCGACGAGTTCGGCCCAGAAGGTAGAAGCCCAACGAGCTCGTTTCAGTACTTAATGATTCGGGCCCAAGGGAGGCCCAGTCATCTTCTAAAGCAGATGACATCGGCGCCGGTCCCGAGGAAAACCTAGTACCTTACTCATTCTACTTTTAGTATAAATAGGGGACCCCATCCCATAAGTTGAGCATGTTTTTTCTATTCTAAGACAAGTATAAAAGAATTTGAGAGCTAAAAGCAATTATTCTCTGACACCAAAAGGAAAGACTCTTCTGATTGAGCTCGATCGATCAAGAAATATAGGAACTGTTCACTGGTAGATATACTGAGCTTCTACTCGCTATTCCGAGAGACCGACCTCAGATACTCATTCACCGACCTAGAATACAMCGACCTCGTATCTTCCAAGCTCGATACACAGTTCTTCTTCTGTCACTTATAAAATCATTTGCTGTAACCTATCCCGAGTTAGCATCATTAAACGGGAATTTCCGATCCTTTACCGAATACAAATACATTGTCGAATACCTGAATCAACACTACAGTACATGGGTTCAAAAGAAGAGAGATTAAATTTGATTAAACAGTAAATAAACTTTCGAAATAAGTAAGACAATCTACGACGTCGCTAGGCCGGAAAGACTAAATCATAAAAGATTTGGTTAGGAGATCATGTACCACCAGTGGTTGCCTGTATTGACGACCAAAAAGCAATAACTTATTCTTCTCCGGGATTGACACGGGTACGAGAGCGAGTTTGGGTTCCCTGAACCAAGAAAAAGTTTTGGTGAGATCTATTGTACAAATTTTCTGCCATGTCTTGTTGCCACCTGAAGAATCAAACAACCAGATGACTTGGTTGGGACATTGTTTATGGGATACGCACAAACGATTGTCGAGGGGGCACATGATGACGCTGGGGGGTTCAGGTGCATGGGGAAAGGGTGCTTTACATAAACCTTGAAAAGTTTCAGTGGTAAGATCCAAAGATACAAGCTTCGTTTCTTCGCAGTCGGTGAACCAATAAAGTGACCCATCAAGGTACGCGGGCTCCTGGAAAACAAGAATCCCATAAGGGGAAGCAGGGATTGTTGCTAAAATCGAAAACTTCACAAGTAGTAACGTTGTTGTCTAGGCCGAAGGTCGATGAATTATAAAACCAGACGGGCTTGAATGTGCCCCTGGAAATGTCTTTACCGAATCCAAGCTCAGGGGCGTAGAAGTCAAAGTCTCGTTTATCATACCTGTCGACCATAAGCTGTTGAATGCTGGAAATAGGAAACCTTTGATGCCAACCAGTGGCGGGATTTGATTACGACGTTCGGTGTGTAGTCACCGTAGAGGCATACAAGACCGTCACAAGGACTATGGCAGACCGAGGGCTTCGATGGATGGAACTTGACCGAACGAATTATTGACGACCCGCACACAGTTGGAGCTTCATCTTCTTGATCATCAGTCAGGTAAAAAAGGACATCAGGACCTCGAGATTGCCTACTGGGGATCAACTATCATTCCTTAAAACGTCGGGACTGGATTGTGGATCTCCACTGGTTGGATACAGACTTGAATCTCGCGAGAGGCTTCACAGCAAGTCTCTCCAGGATGAGCTCTACAACATCGTGTGGTAGCAATTCCCAAGTCCAGCGATGTCGTTTCAACGTTGTCCAGTATCTCCTCTCCATATTGATCGTGAGAGACGATCTCAGGCTTCATAATAAATATATATACAGAGCATTCGAGTCTAGCTAGGGAATGGAAAAAAGGAAAACTTCATGTCAAATTTCTCTCCATC